GCTGGGAGGGGCCTCAGAACTTGGGATGTCAGGGCTGGGAGGGGCCTTAGAACACAAAATGTCAGAGCTCCAAAGCACCCTAGATCACAGGATATCAGAGCTATGAGGCAGCTTAGGTTACTGTCTCCTTAGCCCCATTTCAGAGATGAGGACCCTGGGGCCCAAGGTCACACAGTAGGGCAGACAAAACAAAGACAGTCCTAGGTCTTCTCACTCCTGGCCTGGACACTCTGCAGTACAGCAGGTAATCTCTCACATAATTGATGAGTAATCCTGTTCTTTAGGAAACAACAGAATACAGCAGATTTTGGCATCTCTGTATAAAAGGGAATCCATTGAGGAGAACTATATGGGGGCAGAACAAAACTTTAATGGACCTGCAAATAAGAGAAAATCGTGCTTTGGTTCCTGGTTTAGGCACCTACTAACTGTGGGACCTTGGATAAGCCCCTCAGTCTCTCCTTTCCTCATCTGTAAAATCGGGATAATAATACTCCCCCAGAATTGTTGTCAGGAAAACCTTTTATAAGCCTTTAAATGTGTTTTTATTCTTCAACTTAGAGAGAGAAAACTGTGAGACCAGATGGTAGAGTTGACTAGAAAGACATTGGGTGTGCACAGACTACCTTGGGGAGGGTGGGATCGTTGAGGGAGGGCAGGAATTCTTGGGGCTGGCAAACACACCAGAACCTCAGAAGAAGAAAATGATTAGTGTTTCCATATAAAAAGGGCCTGGCTCACTCAGCTGCTCCCCCTCTCCCCTGCCCCATAATTGGAAAGGCCATTGACATAGCAAAGCCTGGGCTGCTTAGATCACCCAAGCGTGACTGGCCCCTCTGGGAGGACAAGGGCACAGCAGGACGGCGGCTTCCAATCTCTCCTCCACATCTGTTGGCCCCACAGCGGATGGAGAGGAAACATCTGCAATTTTCCCTTCCAGCGAGTGGGGAAGATTTGCACCAAGAATCTTGCCCACGGTGGCTGACTCACTGGCCATGTAGCCCATTTGGCTGCTCTAAGCTGCTGAGAACAGGCCTTAATCCTCAACTGCCCCACGTCAGCCCTGGGGCCTCTGGGCCGGCGCCAAAGGTGAATATTCTCTGTTCCTTTTTGCTCACCAAATTCTATCTCTGGCACCATCTTTCCAGGCCACTCCATGAACTTTAAGCACTAACGTGGCAATTATTATTACAGTTGTTGTTACTGTCCTTGTCAAACACACTACGGACGTCCCATTCCAACTGGACTTCTCAGTCTTCCCCAGCCCTGTCCCACTTTCTCCCACCTCGGGGTATTTGTATAAGATTAGAGATCTAGGACAAGAAGAGAGCTCGAGCTCATCTAGTCCCATCTGGCCCCTCTCTCCCCATTACACAGATGAGGAAGCTAAGGCCCAGAAGAGCTCGTTGATTTGCCCAAGAACACACAGAGAGTAAGGACTCGGTCTGAAAGCCGGCCTCTCTAACTCTGGAGTAGGTGGTCCTCTCATTCTACGCCTGGCACATAGTAGGCACGTAATAAATGCCTTCTTCCTTTCTTCCCTCCCTTCTTCTCCCTCCTTCCTCCCCTCACACATTGATCACTCCTTTGGGGGATATATTCTATCCCTCCTCACCTTGGTGTCCTTCACTTCCTTCCTGGCCTAACTCAAGGACACTTCCTCCAGGAAGCCCACCTTGATCATCTATCTTCCTTCCCTCTCATCATAGCCTAAACGCATCTCTCCTTCCTCACCGCTCTTAGAGAAATTTGGTCAGGCTCTCTCCTTTACACTCCTTACAAGTATTACACTTATTTATGGATGTGTCTAATATTCCCTTGTAGGTTATAACCTCCTTGAGGGCCAGGAATAGAAAGCAGCATGATACAGTAGAGGAAGATTTAGAATCGGAGGGCCTGGGTTTGAATCCTGCTTCTTCCATTTACTGCCCCTGGGTGGCCTTGGATAAATCACTTCATCTTCCTGAGCCTCAGTTACTTTATCTGTAAAATGAGAAGGCAGAACAGACAGCCTTTGAAGTTCCTCCTAGTGCCACTCCTAAGACCCTCTGGTCCTTCAAATTCCAAATCTGTCAGTGGGTTATTTTTTCCTACCAATTCTGCATCCTTAGTGCCACACACATAGTAGGTGCTTAATAACTGTTCACAGAAGGTAATCAAAAGGAATTCTTTTCTGAAAACATAGGAGACTCTGTCTGGCCACAAGGCTGGTAGGAGTCAGCTGGGTGCTAACTTCCTCTTCCAGTTTCTTGGCCCAAAAAGATAGGGTGGGTCTTTCCAACTTTATCCTGTTATTTATTAAGATCTGACAGGCTCTATAATTCTGTCTGTGGCCAGGAAAAATCCCATCGCCTGAAAGATCCTCCTTCTGCTCACCAGTGTAGCTCAGGTGTGCTGGGCTGCCCAGACACCACATGGACTTGGCATGAGGACGAGGCAGGAGGAGGGGTCAGGAGAGTCGAGGTGCCAGCCTGGCTCTGCCACTTACTATCTGATGCTGGGCACTTCCTCTCACCCCTCACCACCCCTGCCCCCCTGTAGTCTCCTCTGCTGTAAAATGGAGATTGGAGGTCAGAAGACCTGAAATGGAACTCAGATTCTCCTGTTTACTCCTCGTTATGAATCAGAACTCACTTTCCTCAGCAGTAAAATGGATAGGCAGACCCGATGATCTCCAAGGTTCCTTCCAACTCTAAATCCACAGTCCTATGAGATCTGCCAGCCCTTCTTCATAGGTCTATTGATCAGATAAACTACGTATTGACAGTGCTTTGTAATTAGGGAGTCCCATAGACTTCCAAATTGTTATTCATCAATAAATAATGTGATATGGTGGCATGATGTGGTGGCTAGAAGGCTGGCCTCCAAGACAGGAAGCTCTGGATTCAAGTTCTGCCTTGAATACATCCTAGCTCTGTGGTCCTGGGCAAATCTTCTACCCTTTAAGTGTCCCAGCTAAGTTTACTATTACCAATTACTATTACTAATATTTGCTACTTACTAGCTGTGTGACCTTAGGCAAGTCACTTCACCTCTGTCAGCCTCAGTTTCCTCAACTGTAAAATGGGTATGATAACAGTTAACTCTAACACATAAGGTTGTTGTGAGGATCACATCAAGTAATATTTGAAAAGCACGTGGCACATGGTAGCATTAAAAAATACTTTCTTCCTTTCCTCCTTCCTTCCTTTCTTCTCTCTCTTCCTTTCTCCATCTTGTCCTTCTTTCCTTCTTCTCTCCTTTCTTCCCTCTCTCCTTTTCTCTCTCTCCCTTCTTCCCTCTCTCCTTTCTTCCCTTCTCTCCCTTCCTTCCCTCTTTTCCCTTCCTTCCTTTCTCTCCTCTCTCCCTTCCTTTCCTCCTTTCCTTCCTCTCCCTCTCCCTCCCCTTTTTCTCTTCCTCCCTCTTTTCCTTCCTTCTTCCCTTCCTTCTTTTCTTCCATCCCAGGTAGCTCCCTAAGACCTTAAATTACAAAGCAGTCACTGGTCTGCATTGGTGGAAGGAGTTTCCCCATTGAGTTCCTCACCTAGACATAAATGACAGGTTCATGCAATAACAATAATAAAAATAATGAAGGATGGGAGCTTTGAAAGTCATACACTATAATATGTCCTATATTCCAGTCTGTCACTTACCTGGGGAAGGTACTAGCCTTTGTCTAGTGGATGTAAATCCTCTTGGGGTTTTTGATAAAAACCCAGGCCGAGCAAGAGGACACCAACTGTTCTCTTCCTTGTTGAGCAAAACCGTGGTCTGTTGGGGGAGAGGTGGGGGAGGAGGAAACAATCTTCATTCATTCCACAAATATTTACTAAATATCTGCTGTGCCCTAAACCTTAAGAGAGAGACACACAAAATAAGACCTGGGTCCTGCCCTCTGAGAGTTTTCCATCTCGCAGGGGAGATGACATGCACACGCATTTCTATAATACAAAACAGAATATGAAAAGGGCGTAAAATAAATGGGAACAAGGTCATGAGCTCACAGATTCAGAGCTGGAAACAACCTCAGAAATCCAGCCACCTCATTTTATAAAGGTAAACTAAGTCCCCATAGGATCACAGATTTAATTCAACCTGAAAGAGCCCTCAGAGACCAGCTAATCCAACCTTTTTCTGTCCATTTTACAGATGAGTCAAATGAGGTGCTTGAAGTGACGTGCATAAGGTCATACAGACAAGCATTTGAGTTAGAATTTGAATCCATGTTTTATAATTCCAAAGTCAGCACTCTCCGCTCTACCAGGTACAACGAGAGTTTAGAGGAAGAATTTTTCATTCTAACTGGGGGGTTACCAGGAAAAGTTTCATAGAAGGCAACTGAATTTGACCCGGACCTGGTAGAAATTCAACAGGCAGAGATGAGAGAGGGCATTCTAGGCCCAGGGAAGAGTCATAGAGATGGGAATAGGTACAAAGCGTTTGGAAGTCCAATTTGGCTAGAATGTAGGGTATGTGGCAAAGAGAAATTTGAGCTAAGATGGGAGGGAAAAGTTCAAGCCAAGGCAGGTAGGGCAGATTGAGGCCAGCCAGGTTGTAGAGGTCCCTGAATGCTAGGCAAGGTCTCTCATATTGCTAGCCATGAAGATAGGATGGGAAGAGTCGGGCTCAATGATAACGCGGTTAAGCAGTTTCATAACTGATTGGTAGACCTGACCCAAACAGTAACTGATGGATGAGCACTATAACGGAACACCCCGGATCTTGGCCCTAGGTGGTTCAACACATTTATCAGTAACTCAGAGGAACACATGGATGGTATGCTTATCAACATCTGAAGTCAGGTCAAAATTGGAAATGATGGAGAGCACAGAATTCTACAGAATCAGGATCGAGAAAGATGTTGGCAAACTAGAATGTTAGCCATATATACTAAGATGAATAGTAAAAATACTAATAATACTAAATGAAATACTAATAAGTAACAATACTAAATAAAATATTAATGAAATACTAAATAAACACTAATAAATAATAACAATAAACAAAATAGTATTAAAAATAAATGTAAATTCCCAGGTTAGGGTTCAAAAAATCAACTGCAGAATTACAGATTAAGGGAGGCATAGCTAGATAACACTAGCTCATGGAAAAAGACCTAAGGATATTAGTGAACTGGGTTGAAGTCTGAGCTATCATACTTATTAGCTGTGTAACTTTGATTGGAGAACTGCTCCAGTATCTTTGCCAAGAAAACCCCAAGTGGGGTCATGACCTCATCAACAACAACACCCTCCCTCAGCCTCAATTCCTTCATCTGCAAAGTAAATATCATATTTGTACTATGTACCTTATTGGGTTGAGGTAAAGCAAGTCCTTTGCTTTCCCTTCCTCAAAAACTTTCCAAAGTTCTCTGCTGCTTCTTGGATAAAATGCCAACTCCTTAGCCTGGCATTTAAGGCCTTGCCCAGTCTGGATCCAACCTATCTTTCTAAGCTTTATTTCCCTATGTCTTCTAAGTAGACTGGACCATTAACCATCATCCATATCATCCCATCCTCCACACTCAAGAGTTCCACATATTTGAAACTCTCCTCGTTTCAAAGCCCAGCTTAGATGCTACCTCTTACATGAAGCCAGCTCAGATTCTCCCAAATGAAAATTCCTTCTCCCCCCCATCAAATGTCCTGCAGCACTTTGTCTGAATCCCCACTTTACTCCCATTACGTTCTGCTTTGCCTCATTCTAATAGCTAGTTAGCACCCCCACCTCATCCCCAATAGACCATAAGCTTCTAAAGGGCATGAGATCTGTTGCTTTTCATCTTTTTATCTCCCTTCGTGCATAGTATATGCTGGGACCTGAAATTTCTCAGACATCTGGGATATCTGGTATCTGTGATTCCCCAATATGAGTATCTCCACTGCTGGTAGCAAACACCTGTCACTTAGTAGATGAATTCTGGGAAGTTGCCTGAGTCACAAAGAGGTTAAGTGACTTGCCCAAGGTCATACAGCTAGTAACTAACTCAGAGTAGGGATTTGAACTTACGCCTCCCTGATTCCATGGGTAGCAGGCTATTCACTACACCAAGCTACCACACCACAGGTGTTATCCTGGGTGAGAGTGGGGATTTGCCTATCAAAGTGGATAGAGCATTGGACTTGGAGTCAAGAAGAACTGAGTTCAAATCCAGCTTCATATACTTCCTGGCCATGCAACTCTGGGCAAATAAATCACTTAACCTTTGCCTGCCTCAGTTTCCTCATCTATAAAAAGGGGATGATAATAGCACCTACCTCCCAGGATTGTTGTAAGGATCAAATGAAATAATATTTGTAAAGTACTTTGCAAATCTAAGGTGCCATGTAAATTCTAGCCATTCTTGTGGTTTTCATCATCATCATCATCATCATTTCCATTTTGAAGTTTAAGAAATTAAGGCTCAGTGAGATGAATTCCCTTGTCCAGGGCTGCGTAGCTAAGATGCATCAGACACAGCTAGCACTCTCCTCACCACAACATGGTGGCGTAAACATACCTCGCACAGAGCATATGCTTAATAAATGTTTATTGAATTAGAACTTGTAAACCCCAAAGTGCCCTATGTAAATGTAAGTTGTTATTATCACTTTCACCTTCTGGCAACAACTTTTCAATTCAGTTACACTCAGCAAGTATTTTTAAATGTCTGCTAGATCCAGAGACTCTACTGTGTGCTGGGGATACAAAAGCCATACAGTGTCTTCCCTTCGGGCACTCACACTGTTCACACAGATGAGAGCCCACGAAATTATAAATTCAATGTCAGTTGGTGGAAGGAGCACTAACAGCTGCTGGGGATGAAGGAAGCTAGGAATTCCAGTAGGCAGACAGGAGGCGGGAGAGCATTCTAGACAGAGGAGGGAGATGCAATCAAGCACAGTACTAGTCACCCCAACCTCCTGACAGGTTGAGTAGTTCAATGGATAGAGCACAGGCTTGGAGTCAGGAAGACCCGAGTTCAAATCTAGCCTCAGACACTTACTAGCTGTGTGACCCTGGGCAAGTCACTTAACCTCTGCCTCAGTTTCCTTATCTGTCAAATGGGGATAAAAATATCACCCACCTTGAAGGATTAATCAAATGAGATATTTGTAAAGTGCTTAGCACTTAGTAGGCACTTAACACATACTTGATTCCTTCCTTCCTTGGCCACAAGACTCCTTTGTCAAACATGACAACCAGACACCCACGGGGCAGCCGTGGAAGAATTCTCAGTGTGCCCCAAGTCAGTGGTGCGACCTCAGATTAGGATCGGCCATGTGGGTCAGCATTGCCCTTGGCTCTGCTTTCCTGGACCAACCAGAAAGAAAGAATGTCCATCTCCAGCATCCTAGCCTGCTGATAAGCAGTCTGGAGAGGTTAGCGTGCTCGAGAACTCTGAGAATGATGCCAGGCTGAGATCAGGCATGAATCAAAAATATTTCAGATGCCCGCGTGTTGTGTGTCTTAGATAAAAGGCTCCCTGGGCTCTCTGTGGGGGCATTTATTGGGCTGGTGAAATTGTTTGCTGGGGCTTGGGTGACTGGGCCACCCGTGAGGCTCCCAGTTTAGGAAGTGTGTCTTCGTAACCGCAGATGGAATTCCTGATCTTGTGTTTATAGAAGCTGTGGAATTCACCTGTTCCCAGGGCCCCGATAGTCAGATGGCATGGCATGAAGAGAGAGCAAACAGATGGAGCTGATGAGACTGTGGTGGGGGCAAGAGCCAGGTTAGCTGGTAGGAGATGACAGTGGGGCCATAATGACAACAAGGCTCTCACTTCTATCACGCTTTAAGGCTTTCCAAGTGCTTTCCCTCATAGAACCCCTGACAAGTAGGAAGAAGATTGCTGTCCCCATTTCACAGATGAAACGACTGAGGTTTAAAGAGCAAGCCATCTTGTCCTGGGTTACCCAGCTGGCCTTTCGATTCCAAGTCTGGGGATCTTTGTTTTGTGGGAACGTGACAGGAAAGGGGCCCTGCGGTAAAACTCAGCATAGCTAACAGGATCTGCATATTTCACCTGTTTCCCATTGAACTAAGAGCAAGCACAAGAAACCTGATGCATTCCTGGTGCATTCTGGGAGGGCTGTTTTTCAATGTGGCTACTTACCTGAGCACCTGCCACAGGGCCTGGGCCCAGAGTCGACACTCAGTATGTGGGGTGTGGACAGAGGCTGGGGAGATGAGGGGAGAAAGGAAGAAAGAGCAGGGGAGGGAAAGGTAGAGGAGGAGAGAGCAGGGCAGAGAACTGGTTAGGAGAGCAAGGTACAGGAGAAAAGAGAAAGGAAGGAAAGGAGAGGCAGAGGAGGGGAAAACAGGGCAGAGGAGGGGAGGAGAGAGCAGGGCAGGGGGAAAGAAAGAAAGAGCAAGCCAGAAGGAAGAAGAGAAGGGGAGGGAAGGGACAGTAAGAGATGGGAGGGCAGGGAGTGCAGGGCAGGGTAGGGAAGGGAAGATTCTTTAATAGAATTATTACACATTTAACCAAGCTGTAGTCAGGGTGAGGCAGCGTGGCTTCATCAGAGGCGCCACATGAAGGGAGATGCTGCTTTCTCCCCCAGCCATGGTACCACTTCCTCTGCATTATATTTATTCGAAGCCAGTCCCAACACCTTACACCTCAAAGTCTTCTGCCAGCCTGTGCCTTCCTGTGGTTTAGGCAGGAAGTCATCCCCAGGGAAAGGGGAAGAGAGAGTAGTGTTGCTGAGGAAAGAGTAGAGACTTCAGGATCAGGAAGGACTTCCAGAGCAAGGTCTAAGCTCCTCAGAGAAGGGAGAGGGGCTTCCTAAAGACAAAGCCACCAGGGTTCCCTGACGGCCTGGATACAAGTGGACAGAGATCACAGAACCATAGATTTAGAGCCGTAAGGGACATTAGAAGCCACTTAATCCATGAACCTTTTCTTTTTACAGACAAGGACACTGAGGCAATGCCCCCAGGAAAGGGAGCAAAGGAACAAAAGGAATGGTCCCCAAAGGCCCTTGGAGAAGAGCCCTAGGTTCCTTCAAGGGGTCTACCTCAGGAATGTTTGAGGGGATATCAACGTATCTATTTAAATCCCCCAGTATGAGGGCAGGGGTTGGGATGGTGGAGGAGACCATAAGCCAGGTACTGAACTCCCTGGGAAAGGACAGAGAGTGACCTGGGGGCCAGAAGGATCCAGGTGGGGTAGTCTAGCTAGATGGGCGCAACCCTCAAAAGAGGAAAGTCAGCTGAGTAAAGGCAGCAGAGAGAGGGTCTGGAAGTGGCAGTGAAAATTGAGGAGCGTGACCACTCCCCTTCCTGACTCCGTTGTCCCAGCAACAAGAGAAGGTGCCTCCAGGGAGGGCAAGACTGGCTAAGGATGTCTGCCCTGCCTTCTGGGGCGGAGTCAGGCTTCTGTGGCTGCAGGAAGAGGGAAGGGGCAAAATAAACACCAAAGTCTAAGAGAAAGAGTGGTTTCTGAACAATAGATGAGTAGTCCCAGAGGGCAGGGCCCACATGGGTGCTTTCTTTGTATGCCAACACTTAGTCCACATAGTAGGTGTTTCATAAATGTCTGTTGACTGTTAAAAAGCAGGTAAGGCTAAGGTGGAAGGGGTTGAGGGATGGAGGATGGTATCAGAGGAAGGAAATCGTTGCTCAGGCAGCTTGCAAGTGAATGGAAAGGATGCGGAGAGGAAAACAGATGTTACTAGTGCAGGAATGATGGGTTTTCTCATCCCCCTCCTCTTCCTTATCCCCAACATTTAACTTTTAATCTTTTACCTCTTAACTACATTTGTTCCAGGTATAGGAATTCCTAGAGAGGGTTCTGGTATCTGGTATTTGCTTTTCAATTCAATTCACATTTATTAAACCCCTAATAGCCACAAGGCCTTGTCAAAAGCTTTGGTTAGGCACAATTTAGATGAGAATTTAGTAATTTATGGTTTAAAAAAAAAAAGACAGAGCAATTCTGGCACAGAGAAGGCTTCCCTGAAGGACCAAGGTGTGACCTGGGCTGCCATATGGACTCAGCAGTTTGTTGGTGACCATTAGAGGAATGAAGCCATAAATTCATGCCCTGCAGTGGGGGTCATGAGTCTTTGCTTTGTGTTGGTAATGGATCTACAGAGGTTTTGCTTGTGTGGGGAGACAGCAGGGAAGAGCGTTCTACAGCCTGGGAGGACTGTGTACCCTGTTTAGGGGTTGAGGCTGTAAAAAGGAGTGGTATTCCAGCGCCTCAGGGGATCCCATTCTGGTGAGGGAGTATGCTCAGGATTTCAGGGCTGGAGGTAATCTGATACTGCTAAAAAGTGGGGTCTCCAGAGGAGTCCCCCTGCCCCAGAACCTATGATATTCAGGAAAGGAGGTGCATAGTGTAAAGGTGGGGAGAGGGCAAGGGAATCTTTGTAAGCAAGGAAAATCCATCTGCCAAAACTATGGAGAATCTCATGAAGTTTTTAAGGAAATTGATTCTGAGTAACAGAAAAATCAGAGAAAGAGACCATGAAACAGGAGATGGGGGATTACCAGGGCAAAATAGTATATACATGGTCATTGGCAATCACTGCATCAGATTTTTTTTTGCTTACTTTTTTTTTTTTTGTTGAGGCAATTGGGGGTTAAGTGACTTGCTCAGGGTCACACAGCTAGTAACTGTCAAGTGTCTGGTCTGAGTCTGGATTTGAACTCAGGTCCTCCTGGGCCAGTGCTCCATCTACTGTGCCACCTAGCTGCCCCCATGCTTACTTGTTTTTATTTACCCCAGTGGGGAGTTCAGTGGGAGAGCAGAAGGCTGAAATGACTGTGATGTAAAGACAAACGGCATCAATAAAATATGGTTCAGAAAGAAAGAAAATAGTATTTTTAAGGATGGCACATTTTAGAAGATGATATGTGGGCCTCAGTTTTCTCATCTGTAAAATGAGAGGGTTGGAATAGATGATTTCTAAGGGCCATCCCAGCTTAGTATTTTTCAAAGCACACATTATTTCATTGACCCTCCAAACTCACTTCCCAGTGAGGTAAGTTAACCATATTAATTTAATTCAATAAGCATTTACGAAGGTCTGAGGCAGCATGACAGTGAGCTGAGTGCTAGATTTGGAGTTAGAAACTGAGACCAAGTCTCAGCTCTGCTCTTCACTGGCTGTGTGGCCTTTGGTAAGTCAATAAATAGTCCCTAATCAATAAACATTTATTAAGCACCTACTATGTGCCAGGCACTAGGCTAAGCCCTGGAAGGCAAGGGGCTCTGGTCAGCAGTGTGGTGTGGCCGCCAAACCGAAAAAGCTAACAAGACCTGGTTAAAGGAGGAGCAGCTTCCAGGAATAAGGAGGTGAGAGTTCTGGGATCCTTAATGATCTTAATGACGGCATAGTGAGGGCCCTGAACCATGACTCATGAGAACCTTTGAAGGAACTGGGGATGTTTGGTGTGAAGACCATAGCGGGCAGGGAGGAAGGGGGAACATGATAGGTATCTTCAAGGATGGGAAGAGCTATCCTAGAGAAGAGGGGTTAGAGTCAGGCTTTACCCTTCAAGAACCAGCAGCAATCGGTGGGATTTGAAGGCTTGAAGTAAGGAAAATTTTCCTAACAATGAGAACTGTCCCAAAAGGGAGGGGGGCTGCCTCAGGAGGTGGTAGGTCCCCTCCCCAGTGCTGGGTTTCAAGCAGAGGCCAGATGGACACTCACTTTGGGATGATGTCATTGAGGGAAATACTTTTCAAGTACGGAATAGGGTGGCCTCTGGGGTCTCTCACAACTGGGAAATTCTAACATTCTAAGAAGTTACTTAATCCAATCCAATCCAACCCAATCCAATTCATTAAACATCTATGCCATGCCAGGAACTCGGGATAGAAAATCTAAGAACCTGCCCTCCAGAACCTTCCGTTCCACAAAATCATTCTGGGCCTAGGTATCCTCACCTATAAAAATGTGGGGGTTGGGCTAGATGAACTCTAAGCTTCCTTCTGTGTGCCTATGACATTCATCTATATTACCCCGACTACCTTACAGGGTGTTCTGAAAAGCAAATGCCAAAGATTTATTCGAAGGGCTTTGTCAGAGGTAGAAATCACGATGTTAACTATTGTTACCAAGCCCTTGTGGACAGTGGTTTGTTTTTTTAACTCCTAAGTCATTTTGGGTTCCCACTGGCTCCCTGGTATAGATGGTGTCAGGACTTGCTGGTAGAATTGGGGCCAAGGGAGTGACTTCCAGGTGTGTGTGAGTGAGTGTGTGTGTGTGTGTGTGTGTGTGTGTGTGTGTGTGTGTCTGTCCCCTCCACCTCTAGCATGCAGGCTTCCCTCATTAATACCAGCACCCAGTACACCCTGGAGCAAAAAGCAGCAGATCATATGCTATTTCAGAAAGAGAAGGAACTGCTTAGGAAGGTAATGAATTCCAAGCTATCAGAGGTTTCCAAGGTGACACTGGGTGGCTGCTTCTCAGAGGAATTACAGAAGCTTCTTGTGAATTGGGGAGGGCAGGGTCTAGATGACCTCAGAGGTCCCTTCCCATTCTAAGATGTTCTCCTACCCCAACCTTCCCCCCCCCAAGCCTCCTCCCCAGGCCCTTTTCCCCTTACATTATAGTGATTGGGTGCTGGGGTGAGCCATTTGCAGCTTTTCTCACAGAAGGGCAGATGGAACATGTGAGAGCATGAATTGCTGAAGTCTTTCTTAGAAATCAAACTGGATGGAAGGTTGTAGGCATTGGCTGCTGGGTAATTGGAAGTTTTCATGGGCAGTCGGTTATCCTGCAAAAAGAAAAGCAATCTAAATGCCTCTATCGTGGGCTAGCTCAGGGAGATCCAGAAAGCAAACATGGAGGCCTCCAAGCCTTTCCAAAGGGAGAAACTATCCCAAGCAACAACGATGGCATCAGTGATGATGGGGACAACGAGGATGATAAAACACCAAGAGGCGTCATGGCTTAATCAATGGGGGACTGGCATTGGAGTCAGCAGGGCCTGGGGTCTGGTTCTGCCTCTGAAACTTACCAGCTAGTAAACTTAGCCCCACTATTCACCCTCCAGACGCCCCAGGCAATTCTGAAGTTATAAATGAGGTGCTGACTTTGATCTGTGGAGAAAGTTTCTAGGCTGGGAGACCTCAAAAATGAAATCACAAATCCAAACCTAATGATAATAATAGGAATTGCTCACTTTTATCTACTGTTTTACAAAGCATTTTCCTCAAGACAGTACAGTGAAATGGGGGTGGAGGTGGGTGGGAGGGAGGGTATTATTATATACACTTTAAAGTTGTGGAAACTGAGGCTCAGAGGAAGAGAAACAACCTGCCTAAGGTAACCCAGTGCCGTCGAACCCAGGTCTTTGGACTCCAAGTTCAGTGTTGTTCCAACTACATCGTGGGCTGTTTTTTCCAGCTAGAGAAGCCCCACGTGCCCTCTGGGCTTGTAGGTTTTGGTTCTTGAGAAAAGCAAGTTCAGGCATGTTTTAGCTTGAGCTTAAAAAAAAAAACAACAAAAACCCCAGCCCTACCCAAGCAGGTATCAAATGTTTTGGGGCTTGGCATAAAAGGCTTTGCTTTCGGTGCATTTCTGTTGCTTTGACTGCCTTCTGATTCATTCATACTTGACTCATCAGCTGTGTGCTAAGGGTTATTTAATGGGAGCTCAGGGTTTCTTTAATATTTTACTAGAGTCTTCTTAGCAAAGCATGACTTGCTGTTTCACATAAGGAAACAGCGTGGGATCTGCGTGTGGCCCAATGAAATTGGGTTCCAACCTTCAAGTGGCCAACAGTTCCACAGGACTTGCTCTGCCTTCCCCCATTTCCCATGTAATAGGTGTTTACATAAGATTCAACAATATTTTTGCTGTCTCATCAGAACCAATCCAGGAAGCCCGTGACAAACTGTTCTTAGTTAAAAAACAAACAGAATCGATGTTTGCCCAACGAAGAGGGACAAAAGCTATAGAAACTAGACGATAACATCTTCTTCACCTGGGATAGTATGGCAGGTATCACAGTAAGATCGAGAAAAAATGTCCAGTTATCTCCAAGTGAAATAGTTGAGGACATTGCTCCGAGTTTCAATGGGCTGGGGAGGCTGGGGGGAGGCAGACTTTGCACATCGCCCAAGGGAAGGGTGAGCCCGAGACGCACTGCTTCAGGGTGCTCAGCTTCTGGTGCAAGCCTTCTCAGAAGCACTGGCCTGGGGACCACCAGGGATACTCAGGTGCCGATCTGGAGGTAAATGCCCTGAGTTCCAGTCCTGACCTGTGTGACCTTGGGGAATAAAAGGCATAGGAAATATTTATATAGTACGTTAAGGTTTGCAAACGGCTTTATATACATTACCTCATTTGATTCTCACAAGGGTTCTCTGAGGTCAGTGCCATTTTCCAAATGAGGAAACTGAGGCTCAGTCACATGACTTACTCAGGGTCATCCAGCTAGTAAGTATCTGAGGTGGGATTTGAACCCAGGCCTTGCTGACTCAAAAGTCCACTATGCCATTCTGGGCCTCACTTTCTTCATGTATAAAATAATGGGGTTGAACTAGATACCCTTTAAGGTCACTTCCTACTCTAAACGTGTGATCCTGTGTGTGGATCCCCCACCCCCACCCCTCCAAGTTAGTCTCTGGCCAGATGTGCTGAGTTCTAGGGGAGAAAGGAAGGAAAGGAAGGAAGACATGAGAGGAGGGTGGAGTAGTCTTTATAGGAAGAAGAACTGGCAGGACAGAACTAGAGTCCAGAAACCTGGGTACGAATCTCACCCTCTCAGTCACTTTACCTGACACTCAACCTCGTCATCTGTAAAATGGGGGTGATCCCACTTGTACTTCTTAGGAACACACTTTGTAAACATTCAAGCACTGTAGAAATGAGAATCGTTACTACTTCCTCGGGGCAGCTTCATTGCTGGAGACACCAACCATCATAAACTTATAATAAATACTCCTTGAGTTAGACTGGACTGAACTGGACTGACTTAGCCCACAGGGATGGACTGGATTGAACTGAACAATCCACTTCTATGGGGTTTGACCAGGTCCAATACAGCAGAACAGCTTCATCCACTCTCTTCCCCATCTCATCCTACATTCTGTAGCTTCCATGCATTTGGACTCCCCTATAACATACTCCTGTTATCTTCACTATGTGGAGGGTAGATAGAACATAGGTCTTGAAGCTATATTAAATCCCTCCTCTGGCATTCACTAACAATTCAGTTTACCTCCCTGAGACTCAGTTTGCTTACTTGTAAAATGGGGGTAATACACGGCTAGTGCTTACCTCACAAGGTTGTCGGGACTCTCAAAGGAGACAATGTATGGGAAACACTTCACAAAATTTAAAGTAATATGCAAACATCTATTATTCAAAGATATTTGTTTCCTTCAAGGCCTAATTGAAATGCTACCTCTTCCATGAAGCACTCCCTGATATCCTCCCCATCTCCCCTGCAAGCTGAAATCAATTTCTCCCTCCTCAAATGTCCTTAGTCTTTCCTCTGAAACTTTCCTTTGCAGTTATCACATTGTACCTTGTATAGGATCCAGGATGAGAGAGAATAAGCATGACCAGAACTCGGGTGATCATCGAGTCTTAGGATTAACCCATCAGTCATTCAATCCACAAGCACTTACTAAGTACTACTAATTCACTAAGTGACAGGTGCAGTGCTGAGGATGTAAAGAACAAATCAATGCTTATTAGCAAGGATTTTGCATTCCAATAGAATTCTGAGATTATAGATAGAGCTGGGAAAGACCCCAGAGGTCATCCAGTTCAGCCTGCCCATTTTATAGATGAGGAAACTGAGACCCAGACAAGTAAAGTCACTTTCCCAAAGTCACACAGGTGGTTAGATGGTAGAGGCAGGTCATCTGACCCCAAGTCCAGTGTCCTTTCCACCATATTATAATATACCCCGTTTCCCCATTGCCCTCCTTGAGGGCAAGGGCTGGGTCTCATTTCTAGGTCTTTGTATCAGAGCAGCAGGCATTCTGCCTTGCTTCTACTTGGTGTTTCACAAATGTCTGAGGCTGATCTCGGCTCTGGACTGAAGACCCCCATTTGACAGACATGGGGAGGAGGCCACCAGGCAGAGCAGAGGTGAGGAAAGCCCTGAAAGAGGCCCGACCTGAGCTCCTAGCATAGCCTCTCCTCGGTCCCCTCCCCACCATCACCCCTCACCTAGAGCCTGGGATCTCGGCTCCTCCCCCCTTACCATGGTTCTGTGGTGGGAAATGAGAAGGGCAACTCCATTCTCATAGAAAGGGTGAAAGGGCAAGACCTGGACGTGTGAGCAGGGAGGACAAGGTAGCGGGCAGGCCCAGGACAAAGCGCTGTCCCTAGGCGAGCCTGGAAAATTGCGTCCCCTTTTCTGCATTATTATCTACCTGAGGCTTCAAGCCTTTGTTATAATACAGGAGATATTGCGCAATAAACCCCTACCTGCCACAGAGAGGAATTTTCTGGCATTTCAAACACGTTCACTAGCATTTCCCAGCCTTCAGGCTAAAAGCCAATGTAATTCATTATTCATTTTTAAAACTCTATCACAAAGTGCTCCTCCTTGTACCCCACTGACTGATGTGCCCTGGGCAGCTATTCATCTTACCTACTCCTAGTCCCCGCTCAGTGATCAATAGGATATTTCATTCTAACTTGGGCAAGCCATGGATCAAACATTGAAGAACCCGGAACTTAAAAGCCCTCCACTGATCCCTGGATCTTGGGTTCACCCCTTTGGGCTCATAGTTTTAGAGCTAGGAGGGACCTCAGAAACCATCAAGCCCAAACCTCCGATTTGACAAATGAGAAGACGTGGGTCCAGAGAGGTCGAGGGGGTGACCCGCCCAACTGAAGTCACACTGGTAGCAATAACAGAGCCAAGATTCAACACCAGATCTTCTGACTCCAAATCTTTTCCACTGTCCAAGAAATCCAATGTAGCATTGCAAGCCTCCTATGAGTACGGCTCCTGGGTAGCCCCAAAGCTTCAGGAGACTTAAGAAGGGAGGCAGTGAGGTCAAAAGCCTTCCTCAGTGACATCGTCCGCACCAGGTCTTTCCTTAAGTCATGCCACTCTTCACATGAAGTACAAACAATGTAATATTGACTACTCAAAGAACCAATGTTGAACCTCGGTGGAAGTCACTGTCTCTCATGTGTACCACGTTTTCCATTACTTTGGGGCCATTAACCTCCCATCAGTCCCAGTCACAGTTATTGAAGAATGCATATGTTGTTTTGGGGTTTTTTCTTCCTACTCAAGGATATGGAAGAAGGAATGTATATAACAGTCCAGTGCCCCAAGTCCAGTGTGTTCTGCTGACAAAAATTTTTCTTTAATGCACTGATGTTAAAAAATAATGCTAACTACTTGGTATTTTTTTTTTCACGATCCTTTTTGTTGTTATTTGACTAGAAAAATATAGTCTTTCTTTTTAATACCTGATTTTTAAAAAAATAATTAATTTCTTTATTTTTAGTTTTCAACATTAACTTCCATAAGATTTTGAGTTTTAAGTTTTCTCTCCTTTCCTCTCCTCCCCCCTCCCCAAGATGGCATGCAATCTGATATAGGTTCTACTTATACATTCATTTTAAGCATATTTTCCCATTAGTTATGGTGTAAAGAAAAATTAGAACTGATGGGAAGAACCACAAGAATGAAGCAATAAAGCAAAACAACAAAAGAAAAGGAGAACAAATAGTATACTTCCATCTGCATTCAGACTCCATGGTTCTTTCCTTGGATTTAGACAGTATTTTCCA